TTTCTAATCAGTTCAGAATTAGTGATCATTAATAGTTAACTTTTGTATTATTTGGATTTGGCATCTAATGAGAAAATACTAGGCTACACTCCAGAGTTCTTATTTTAAAAGTCCAATCTATTATGTCTGTTGGGAGCTGTTTTGTGGCAGGTCAGTACTGAGCTGCTCTGGGTGTGTTCTCTTGCTCAATGTGTAATTTTTGCCAAGGACAGGCGCTACTCAACATGATGACTCAAAATGTTAAACCAACCTAAACCCGGGTTCCTGTCACTCTCTTCCCCTCTGTTGTTCCTCATCTCTGTGTGTTGGCAACACCCTCCTCACACTGTGACGCTGCTCAGTGTCATTCCCTCATCCTGTGCACGACACATCTGCCTCCTCCTTTTTTAGGACCAAGAATGTTAATTACTTAGGAGATAACTTGGTGTTTTTCACCTGTCAAGTCTTAGATATATTGTTTTAAAAATTGTTGTTTTAACAGCCATATGTATTATATTTTTATTGTGGATCCTTAGGTACAGCTCTGTTTGGAAATTCTTAGAGATATATATGTATACATATATTCAAATTTAGTGACTGTAATTGAACTCATTTTTTTGTTAATCAGTTCTTTTAAATAGCAGTTTTATTGAGATGTAATTCACATATTATAAAGTTCACCCTTCATTATTATTAATTTTTTTCTTTTTTGAGACAGTCTCACTCTGTTGCCCTGGGCCGAGTGTCGTGGTGTCATATCTCATTGCAACCTTCAAACTTTTGGGCTCAGGCAATCCTTTTGCTTCAGTTTTTCCATTTTTAGTAGAAATGGGGGTTCATTCTTATTCAGGTTGAGTTCAGACTCCTAACCTCATGCCATCCACCTGCCTCAGCCTCCCAGTAAAGTTCACCTTTTCAAAGAGTGCATTTACAGAATTGTGCAGCCACTGTTACCATCTGTAGATTTTGTAGATTTTCTTTTTCTTCATAGTGACCTTTGATACACAAAAGTTTTAAATTTTGATGCAGTTAAATTTATCTACTTTTTCTTTTGTTGTTTCTGCTTTTCTAAGAAATAATTACCTAATACAAGGTTATGAAAATTTATTCTTGTGTTACATTTTGAGTTAACTTTTGTTCATGGTGTGAGGTAGGGGTCCAGTTTTATTCATTTGCTTCAGTATATTCAGTTGTCTCAGCATCTTTTGTTGAGAAGACTGTCCTTCCTCTGTTGAATGGCTTTTCTGTGCTTTTGTCAAAGATTGCCTTGTCCCCTTGTTGAAAAAATCAGTTGACCCTAAGGGTAAGGTTTTACTGATGGATTCTCAGTTGTCGTCTGTTGATGTCCCCTATGTATTTATCTTTGTGCCAGTGCCATATTTTACTGATTACTATAGATTTATAGTTCAAGAAATGTTAATTCTTCCACACTTTGTTTTTCTTTTCTAATACTATTTTGTTTATTCTGGGTTCTTTGCATTTTTGTTTGAATTTCAGGATCAGATTGCTGTTTTTTGTGAAGAAGCTGCAATTTTGATGCTGATTATGTTGAATCTGTAGACCAATTTGGGAACTATTGCCATCTGAACAATATTAAGTTCCAGTCCATGAATGTGGGATGTCTTTCTGTTTCTTTAGTTCTTCTTTTAATTTCTTGTAGTGCTGTTTTATAGTTTTCAGTGTATAAGTTCATACTCCCTAAGTATTTTGTTGTTTTTGATGTTATAAACAGAATTATTTTCTTAATTTTATTTTAGGATCATTCATTTTTAGTGTATAGAAATACAGTTAAATTTTGTACATTACTATTGTATTCTGCAGCCTTGCTAGACTTATCTATCAGTTGAAGTAGTTATTTTGGTGTGAATTCTTTAGGATTTTCTGTATGTTGGATTAGGTCATCAGTCAATAAAAATAGTTGTTTTATCCGAATGTCTTTCTTTTCTTATTTTGCCTAATTCCCTTGACTAGACACTTCAGTACAAGCTGGGCAGAAGCTTTGAGAACAGACATCCTGATCTTAGAGGAAAGCATCTAGTCCTCCACTGTTAAGTGTGATACTAGCTGTAGGCCTTT